ATCTGAGCCTATTCCCACTCCGAATGATCTGTCTGATAGGGACGCCTTGATCCAGCGAGGGATTTTCCCCTGAATCCCGTAAGACTCGCGTTTGTGGAGCAGCGGGACGTGTGGGATCCTATCAAATGCTTTTGAGAAGTCGAAAAATATGGCATCCGATATGAGTCCTTCGTCTTCGGCTTGGGTTAAGCTGTCCACAAACACGAGCATGTTTGTCACGCAAGACCGGTTTGGGAGAAATTCGTGTTGAGTTGGAGATATCAGGTTGCTGGAAGTAAGGTGATCTAGGATGGCTCGCTTCAGAATGCGTTCCATCACCTTGCACGGCACGCTAGTGAGGCTTATAGGCCTATAGTTGCCAGGCGATAGTCGGTCACCGGTTTTGTAGATTGGCATGACAATCGCTTCCTTTCAAGCAGAGGGAAGGCGGCCTTCGTCAAGCGACTGACGAAACACCAAGTGTAAATGGTTTGCCAGTGTGGAGGACGTTTCTTTCAGGACCCTTGGATGGACCTCGTCGGGCCCCAACGTGCAGAATGGGTTGATCTTGTGCAAGAGTTGACGAATGTCCTCCACCGTGAAGACCAAGTCGGTTAGAGGCTGTTCGTAGTTCAGCCTTGACAAGAGTGGATGTGACGAGGACGCTGGGGCTGAGTATAGACACGCTGATGTTCGAGGGCTAGACTCTCCAATGCCTAGTGGCGAATCAATAGGACGCAGTCAGTGACACGTTAACTCCCGCCTTCCTGCATGGGTAAACCTGACGTAACTACTCAGTGATTGATGAAACTGATAGGCGTAGTCCATTCATGGAGTCACCGATGCTCCTCCATCAAAACCGTTGCTTTTAGAGCGTACAAACAACTGGAATGAGTAAAATCCAGATGAATAATTACATCCTCCCCACTTGATACCTTCCTTCAATCACCTTCTGACCCCGGACATTTTGCTGGCTTTTTCATCCCTGCTGGCCTCCCGGGCGGGAAACGACTTCTTTCTCTCGTCAGACACACAATGGATTTGTGGTATCTACCAAAGCTATTGACCTCTCTCTACCATTAAGAGTTATTACCCTGGTATCTCCCAACATGATAAACTGTTGAAAGCCTTGGACAATAAAATACAACGAACCGGCAGAGAATATCGGAGATCTCAGGATTTGTCAATGATACTCCTCATCAACAAGCTCTCATCTGACCGAGAGTCCTAACGGATATTCTTCGAACGCCGGGAAGAGAGCACCGCGCCCAGGGGCCATTTTGCTGTAAATTACTCGGCCGCCTAGTTCGTGGGCGGTGTACCCCAAACTGTCACCAAGTCACTTGTCTGCGCTCCATCGACGGTAGTTTTGTCACCCGCCTTGTCAATATAGCCGACCACTTGAATGTTTACTTTGCCAGCTGCTACTTACTTCTTTCTGCCAAGTTCAGTCCTACAATCTCCGCCTCATATTTCACCTCTGTACAACAGAGTAACCGCCAGTCTCTGAGCCGCTTGACCATCCCCTAGCTGATGTATCAGCCCTTCTTCAAACCCTCAAATACTCCGCCGTGCCGGGAGCCGACGGCATACCATCACCTGTCCTGAGATATGGTGGTCAAGATGCCAAAACCGCTGTCCTAAATATTTTCACTCACTCAGTCAACTCTGGAATTGTCCACTCTCAGTGGAAACAGTCTGTTGTTTGCCCTCATTTTAAATCCGGATCCAGGCAAACCGCTTCCAATTCCAGGAGGATCCACCATACCCCTCTTTTAATGCAAACCCTCGAACGTCTGGTCGAAGGTTTGTTAATCAGGGTTCTCCTAGCTACAGACGCCATAGATGATCAATCAACCGGATTTCTATCTCAAATATCCGTAAATGGCTGCCAGCTTCACTTCTTTGAGACCGTCACTCCATTGTAACAGTCTATCTTGACATCCAAAAA